AACAGTATGGATTTCGTAAATTCCCATCATTCCCATAAATTAGCAATCAAGGTGTCCTAGAAATTCCAATATTTTACGGTCTAAACTCATCATCCAGACAGAAACAAATAAACCTTTGCCTGACCATGTATTTTCATGAAATTCGAAAACACGGTTACCATGGAATTGTCGACCTCACTAGCTCTTCTTGTGGCTGTGATCCAGAGTAAGGCTCAGAAGGAAAACACACACAAAGAGGCTGGAGACACCCAGTGAGAGGCAGGAAAGACAAAATGGGGTTTCCAGGGTGGGAACCAACACAGCAACCCTTTGAGGCACAGATAAAAATACATTTTTAATCAATGTGTCTGTTTCCATGCCAATGTTCAAGAAAACAAAAAAAAAGCACTCATCATTCTTGTTAATAACAACTGTCACTCTCTCTTACAGAAGTGCTCCTTGTCCAGAGGAAAGACAGTTACCATGTAGCATGTTTGTATCATTTCTGCTGAGCTGGGGTCTCCTGCCACTGACCGCACCATTTCTTGGTTGCATTATAATAAATAGATGGGCTGCTTTGGGTTATAGTCCCTCTTTATCCATGTGCCATTTATGGCTCCAGTTAGGACTTTTCAGGTTCAGAAGTGAATGCCCGTTTAACTATTCTCTCCCAAACAAAAGATATTTCCTTTCAAAAATATATACTGTATTAATGGCAAATAAGCTGAGAACCCAAGCCAATTTTTGTTACCATGCATATTTGTGAATGATAGCATTTGGTATTAGAATGTCTTAAAGGAAATTTATATTGGGCTTGCTTGAGTAATTAGGGTGTGAACTTTTTTCTCTAGCATTTTTCTGCGCGTGCAATAAACCGATCAGTTAGTATATCCCAATATTTATAAAGTTGGTAAAAATAAAAGTGTACTCACAGGTCCAAAGACTGGCTGCCCAAAGTTTAATTGTTGGGTAGAGTCTTGAATTTCCTTTTTCATTTCCAAGATAAAACCAAGTGAAGATTGAAATCAAACTGGCTCTCAGCCAGTGTCTGTTTTTTTTTTTTTTAGAAGGGGTAAAACTTGGTGGCCTGAAGAGAACAGGATATGGGGGTCTTTGAACTGCACCCGAAGAGAAAAAGTTGGCAGCAAGTACCTGATCCCTGCACAGCACTCCCCCACTTGCACAGGAGAGGGGAGGTAGGAGGGAAACCAGGATCTTTAAAAAATAATCTTTAAACAAATGCCCAAGAGCCATAGTATTTAGAGAAGTCCCCCCTAGACCTTTTAATTCTAAGCCTTGTTGTGCACACTGCTTTAGGGGTTGAGAGAGGTGGACTGTTCACCAAGTCAAACTAAAGCTTGCAGATCCTGTTCCATTCAGTGGCTTTGTTGCTGGTCTTGTCTAGTACTAAGGAAAGACAGCTTGAACTATCTCCTGCTCGCGCTATTGAATCCACAATAGCAGATTGTTTCCAAAGTCGGTTTCCAACAGTTTCTTCCATTCCTGTACACTCATGCTGCTCCTGGAGTGTGTTGCCAATCCCCTGAATCTGGGCTGGCCCAGAATATGGCAAAAGTAATGTTCTGGGAGTCTAGGCATTAAGAAGTCTTCTGGTTTTTGCTTTCATCCTCTTGGGATCCAGCTGCCTTGTACAAATCTTGGGTTAGATTATTGAATGACAAGAGTCCACTTGCGGAGAATAAGACCCGGTCAGCCCTGAGCCACTGTCCCAGCTAACACAGCTGCATGAGTCGTTCCAGCCGGCAATATTCAAGCAAAAGAACTGTGCAGCCAACCCACAGCATCATAGGAAATAATAAGCAATGTGTTTTGGGGCTCTTTGTTACATGGCAATAGATAACTGAAATAGAAACTGTCATAGCAGAAACCTAAAGCCATGTGGCACTGCACTGGGGACTGGGTGAAGGTGGAGGCTGGAATCTCATCCTGTTACTCAAGGCTGGAAGAACAGTAAAGAAATCACTTCTGGAGCCTTGAAAAAGGACCATCCGTGTCATGCAATGGTGGGCTATTTGGCAACATTACCACTTGTGACTCATGATCCTGCAGACCCGGTTGAGGAGAATTTTTTGGGCAGATTATCAAAGTTTTCATGGTATATGATAAGGTGTTACAAAAAAGAGATGAACGAAATAAAGAAACTGTTTTGTTTTCATGCAGAATTTAGAGAAAATGTAGCGAACCTAGGACAGTTTCTCCACTCAGCAAAATATTCTCAAAGTCAGAAATGGCCTTGGCAGGGGCGGGGGTGCCTACTAGACCCTTTCATCTAGACATACAATTTTAAAAATTTTTCTGCAGATTATGATGTTTTGACATCTTAAAAACCATTCTGGCATGTCTTGGATATGCAAACCCCCCAGGTCAGAGCCACATCTCCTCTGTCTGGCTCCTCCACCCCAGAAGCCAATATTCCTCTGCCTCAGTCATCCCAAGGCCAAGTGACAGGCAACTAGGAGCCACCTTATAGTTCAGAGCCTACAGAAATTATTCAAACTGGCCAGTCCTAACCTTTTCACTCTGCCCTTTCTTGACTTTCCCACAGAAACCCCAGTAAAGGTTCTGGCCTAGGCCTTTCATGGCTTCCTGCCCCTTCTGCTTCCTGACTGCCCTTGGTGTTTCTCCAGATGGCCCTGCCTGTTATGCAGTGCCTCCTGTCTCTAGGACCTGTGAGCATAATGAACTTTGTTTTCCTGAGCCTCTCCTCTGTCTCCTTTTGTGGCTGCACCGGACTGACCATCTCATAAAGCAATACAGAACAGGCTCCTAGCGATTTGAATGGTGAAGTCCTGCAGCATCTGGAGTCATAGTCCAATGTAGAGAAGGTCCTGTCTGCAAGTTATTTGTGAGCGTGGCGTTTTGCTAATCGAGTGGACTATAATTGGATACATAGAACACCTACAAAGTATTTAAGATATTGTACCATTTTGGACTAAAAACAGATGGAGACAGTTTAGAAAGGAAAGAGGTCTTCGGGGCCTCAAAGTTTACTGGCAGAAAGCAGACTCAGAAAGTAAGTGTAAAAAACACAGGTTATTTCTTATGCAAAAAGAATAACACAGGGGGTGGAGCTAAGAGCTTCTAAGAACAACAGATCAGAAAACCACTCTGCAGGAGCAGAACTCGATCTTAGTCTAGACACATTCCTGTTCCCAAAGCTGGAGGAACTGGTGACATATGCCAGGCTGGATTCAGAATTACTAAGGGCTGGTGACTGAACAGAAGTGTCTACAGTTATCTTATCCCTGTCTCACCACTGCAGGTTTGGAGTGTGTGGGGGGGAGTCATATAACTAGTCTTTTTAGTTCACATGTTTGCAAATCAAGAGAAGCCCACATGGGGATCTAGACCTGATACAGATGAAGAGATCCTGGACGTTGAGCCTTTGCTGTAATGGAATTCAAGTACTGAGGGATGAGGTGGCTGTGCTTTACACATGGAAGAGATCTGAATTGCTATGGCCAGAGAGAGTGGACTGTGGAATGTCGTTTCCACAGATGACTGCCAACAATTCTTCTCATTCCTGTACATGATGTACCTCCTCCCATCTTGGACTTGTGACTTGCTTTGACAAATACAATAGAGTGGATGTGGCATTCTGGGATTCCGGAGCCCACATCTTATCAGGCCTCAAGGCTGCTTTTGCCTTCTTAGGATCCAACCACCATGTAAAGAGCTCAGGATGGTTTACTAAATGATGAGAGAACATGCTGAAAGAGAGATCCCAGCAACCCCAGATGTTCCAGCCACCCCAGTTGAGATGCCAAATATATGAGGAAAGACTCTTGGATTCTCCAGCCCCAGGCAAGCCACCCCAGTTGACACTGTGCGGATCAGAGTTGAGTCCTCTCTGCCAAACCCTGCCCAAAATCATGAATAAATAAGTGATTGCTATTTTTAAACCACTAAGTTTTGGAATGATACATTATGCAGCAATAAATCCTGAAACATCTGCTTAAATAGTAGAGATGAAAACTAAAGAGCACAATTAGAAAATTCATCCAATTCTTCTTTAATATAGCCTTCATGGTTTTTGTTTGCTTGTTTTTACCTAATTTCCAGTAACTTTTGCTTTAAAATAGTATAACTTGATAACAGATTTCAAAGTACCAGTGAGGTAATGATTATGGACTTAATGCCAACAGATTTAGTATACAAAGAAACAAAACTGATTTTAACTATGACCCCTAGAGGACATTTAAGTGTAGCCATTGGTCACAGGTCACAGACTTGGATAGGGGAGCTCAACGCAAACTATCATGTTTGTACCAATTTAAAAACAAACACTGAAGATGACCAGCATCATTTTCTTATATCCAGAGCATTTCATTCAGAGATCATTTAGATCATTTAGTCAGTTTTGTAAAGGCTGTTCTCCAAAATAAGCACATATCTTTTTCCTATTCACCAAATATGACAGTCAAGAATAAGCAACTATGCTGGAAAGTTTGACTCCACTATTAAAAAACGTTGGCTCTAGGGCCTAAAGGCAAATTATAACATGAATTAACCAAATAAATGCCTCAGCAAGCAGTTACAGAATTAGAACTGTAAACATGCAGTTTGTGCAAAGCAGGATTCTGGGCCGTGCTGTTTTGACAGATGTGAATGGCACCCCCTATAACACTGCATAAAGAGCCTATTGGAAGCAAAGATTGTGCCCTTGAAAACCTGGCACTCTAGTAGGAACTGACCGACTTTGTGCAAAGCAGGATTCTGGGCCGTGCTGTTTTGACAGATGTGAATGGCACCCCCTATAACACTGCATAAAAAGCCTATTGGAAGCAAAGATTGTGCCCTTGAAAACCTGGCACTCTAGTAGGAACTGACCGACATGATTAACAATGGCACATATACATAAACACACTGATGTACATGTAGCCTGGGTGAGGGAAGACTAAAATAAATGAACTTGAGCTTGAGGAGCGTAGGACGAGAATACTAAGGAGGGTGAAATGCACATAAGCAAAACCATCACACGCACAGAGGATGCAGCTTACCTGACATGCTGATGGATGAGTGTGGTTGAGATCCCAATGAGAAGACACTATGTCAACAGACTTTTGGGCCATGTTGAGTAAATTCATCCAGCCTTGGAAAAGTGATAAGTGAAATGGTGCATTTTCTGAATAGTTAAGGCCTTCAGGAATATTTTCCACCAGGGCAATTCTTAGAAAAGATTTTGAAAAACAAACAAACAACAAAATCTAGTCAAATTTGAAGCCACAGATCTTTAAGCATGCATATCTAAAAAATATTCTTTACTCTTTCTGAATGTATACATTCCTCGTAATTTATATTTTTCCACCAAAGGCCTCTTACACTTCCCCTATGCTAATCTACTGGGTTCTGAGAGTTTATGCTGTTTTCCCATAATTAGCAATCATATTTCAGAAAATCACGGTAAATGTCCCTAATGCCTTGTTTCAAATTAGCCTTGAAAAAAATAGAGCTTCCTACATAAGCATCTTCTTCTAGCAGTGTATTCCTTTTACCCCTCCCCACAGTAATGCAATTTTTATATAAGATACTACTTCTGCAAGCTACCTGAGAACATAAGTTAAGTTTTACATATGTCCAGTTTTTAGTACAATGTTGGGCATATATTGGAACTCAGTAAATGCAACTATTATTTGCATTAGATATTGCAGTAACTATTAAATGCTTAACACTTATATTAATATCTCTCAGCCTAAGGTGTAAAGTAATACTGAGAAGAAAGTTATCAAACCTGACTACTGCAGGGCTTTATAAAAGCCAGAAAAAAGGGATGTATAAATGATAGTAATAATCAACCCTAAACAAACTACAATCAGCAATATCCTAATAAGGTTGTTTTCTCTTTATACTTTTTATATATTGACGACATATGCACTGTGACTGGCTCTCTCTGGTATTTCAGCTAAGGCTGTGGCTTTTTTTTACTTCCAAGTTAGGTGACACATAACTTCTTAATAAAGAAATAAACAATATTTTTTTTCTGTTTAATAAATGTATACTCTCCTGCAGTTCTTGATAGGAAAACCCCAAACTCTTATGAAGATACTTGTGAAGTGCTTCCAGAACCGAGATCTGTTTTATTCATAGCTGCATACTCAGAGCCGGATACATAATTAGGGCTCAATAAATACTTACAGAGCAAATTTCAGCTTTCAACACAGAATTCAGCACTTCTCAATAAAATTGTTAACTGTTATTCTTGATGAAACATGTTTCATTGAGCCAGCTTTAGGAAAAAAAACAATACTGCTAGAAAAATGTTTTTGTGTAGTTGATGAACGTAGAATATAGCCAGAATGGGGCATGGATAAGTATTCCAGAGACATTCACAATTTGGGGATGCAATCATCCTAGGACCTGCAAACTTATTTGATGTGTGTTGAACCGTATAGCACAGGCCAAGCAAACCACTGTCTTCAACAGAGAAATGACAAACCTCCCTAGACCTCAGAAACTTATAACCTAGTGAGAAACCCTGTCTCAGACATACTGATTCAAATAAGAGGTAGACACTAATAAACAGTGAAAAAGGAGCAAAAAGTTTATGAGATGGATAAAGCATCACCTAACGTATTACTGGAACATGAGCAAGAAGGAAAAATTAATTATGGCTGGACACATCTGGAATTGGAGGAAGTTGGACTTAAAATGAGTCTTCAAAGATTTTTTTTTGTGTGTGAGTGAGATGGAAGTGATAGATATTCTAGGTAGAGGCAAGAGTTTATCAAACCTAGGGTGTCTGGATATTTGTGAGCTGCAAAGCCAGGAGACCCCGAGCTGGGAGAGTTTCTGCAGGAGCTGGCGATGGTGGAGAAAAATGGCAGCATCTGCGGGGACCATGCTGCAGAGGCCGTGAGCTGGGAAGAAGAGACTGTACTTCATTTCAATGCATGTGGGAGCAACAGGTGCATTTTAGGGGACACCTGTATGCTATCGGAATGGAGAAAAGCAGACCAGAGCATGACAAATCTGTAAAGAGTAGAGGCTGTTGCAACAGCTACGGAAGTTTGAATTAGGCTAATGGAAATAAAAAGACGCATGCAGTGGAGAAGCAGGTGAAGGAGAAACAGTTAAGACTGTAAGATTTTCTTGCATAGCCACCATAGCTTCTCATAACTGAGCTCCATAACCACCTCCAACAGTCTTTGAAGGTTATTTGGAAGTTAGCTCAATGATCATGGACTCTTACCCTTCTCCAAACCATTTTCCATACCACAGTTGGATTAACCTTCTAAAAATGTAAATGCAAACACTCTGCCTGCTGCCTAATTAAATGTCCTATGAGACCCCAACCCCTACCCTGCCCCAACGTAGTTGACAAGTGTTTACGTCTGTCCTGCCCCTCTGCAGTTTCGCTGGACTCAAAAAGCCCCCTTGGAATTTTAACCACTTGACTTCTTTCCTCCTTCCCTGCTATTCTCTCTAGACTTTGGCATTTCATGTGCTTTTTCTCAGTCCCAATTCCTACAATGGTTATTGAGCTGTCTTCCAATTAACCATCAAAGTTCCAATTTATACATCACTTTCTCTGATAGGCTTCCCTATGCCCCCAAACGAGGCTAGATCCCTTTATGATCAACTCCCACAGAGGCCTGTGTCTCCTCTTTCATCCGACTCTCCACTCTTGAAATTACTTGTTCATTTTCCTTGGCGGATTGTAGGGTGTGTGAAGGTAGGAACCTGCTCCATTAGCCCTGGGTTGTATCCCCATATCCTGACATATCACGCAGTAAGTCTCCAAGGAATGTCTGCTGAGTATCATTAAAATCCGAGCAACTGGAAAGACAGGGTGGTGGGGCCCATTAAAACTGACAAGGAACATGGGAATGGGTGTAAATTGGGGATTGAGAGAGATTATTAAGGGAGAAATGAAGAGAAAATTAGCCCAAAGCCTAATGGGGGGAAATGCCTCCATTCCTCTGGTTGGTGGAGAGTGAAACAGGTGAGAAGATTCAGAAGGGCCCATTAGTGACACAGGAAGACACAAGAGGCTCAGGAAAAAGCAGTGTTCGGGAAGCCAAGGTGAGAGCGGGTTAAAAGATGGAGACAGCAAATTACTTGACCTACTTCAAAACCTTGGAGGCGCGCAGCTGCCGGGGCACTCGGCCTCCCAGCCAGTCCTGCCATAATTGTCCCCAGATGGTGGCGCTGGGCTCAGGGTGACTGCAGGAGACGTCAGGGCCCTTTCCCCTTCGCCAGGACCCCGACGCACCACTGCTGGCGCGGACCCCCAGTGTGGGCAGGCAGCGGCGGCTCCGGCGACCCCATTCCCGGCCTCGGTTTCCGGAGAAGGAAGCGCGGGGCCCGCCTGAGCCCCGGCGGTGGCGCGGGAGCGACGACAGATGTTGCAGTAGCTGGTCACCGTGACATGCCAGGGCGGCTGCTGCAAGTGTACGTGGAGGTGCATGAGCGGTGCGATGACTGAAGGAAGAAGGGAGCAGTTCAAACCGTTCTTTCTTTCTTTCTTTCTTTTTTCCCCCCTTTTTTGTGACCGGTAAGGGCATCGCAAACCTTGGTTTGGTGTCGCCCTCACCGCGCTCAGCCAGTGAGCGCACCGGCCATCCCTGTATAGGATCCGAACCCGTGGCAGGAGCGTCACTGCGATCCCAGCGCCGCACTCTCCCGAGTGCGCCACGGGGCCGGCCCCAAACCGTTCTTTCTTTGGATACTCTCGGGCCTCCAGCGCCTCCTGCCCTCCTTCCCGTTGTGCAATCGGTGCCTGTCAACATCCTGAGCTGCGTGAGATCAGCCTTCAGGTGCTTCCACGGTGACAGGCCATGCCGCAGGCCTGCCGATCCTAAACCGGAGAGGAATAACCGTGAAGACACGGCACGGCACGCAAATCTATCGACTTTGAACGTATGAAAAGTTTTAATGACGCAAGCAAAAGGTGAGGGGTCAGGAAGAGGGACCAGAGGTGCTTCCGCTGTGGCAGGCGGTGCACCAGCCTGCAGTCGCCGTCCCCGGGGAGGAGGTGGCCCCCGTGAGTGGGAGCGACGCGATGCTCCTGGCTCCGGAGGAGATGATGGAAAAAAGTGAAAGTGAAGTTGCAGAAAACACAGCAGCGGCTTCGAAGTCACCAGAGCTGCGGGGGAGCAGGGAGAGCGGCGTCCGCGCTGAGGCTTCCGTTGGTGACACCGCAGCTGCTCCGGCTGCTCCCACACGCAGCAGGAGAGCGTCCGATACCCAGCGGGAGCCTCCCGGATGGAAAATCCTGCACGTGAAGGAGCAGAGGAGGCCAGCAGGAGTGTGACCCGGAGCCGGCGTGGCTCAAGGGAGGCAGAGGCCTGGCGCTGGAGAATCGTCGGGCCCGCGGTCTGCAACAGAGGTTCGGGGGAGCTGTCAGGCTGGGAGACCATTCAGGATTCCACCTGGGACCCGAGTGCCCAGGATCCACATGAGACTCCACGAGGAGATTCTGCAGGGAAAGGGGAGCCCCGGGACACCAGAGGAACCTCGGCACCCAGCGGTAGGAGCCGAAGTACCGCTCAATGGCAGGGGGCTTGACCTCGCCTCAGTAATAACCACTTCCGGTTCTGACCGGAAGCCACCAAGTCTCTCTTCCGGAGGCATGTCCGCCACCACGTGGGTGGCCAGCCTTACTCTGAACAGCCTGACCTGTATTCTGATACGACCCTCCCGGAGACCAGGGCCCCAGAGAGAACAGTGTGACACGTGGCCTTGGGCTGGGTGCCATGGACGCCCTTACCCGCTTCACCAACTAGACCCCAGGATCAGACTCACCCTTCAGGTGAGTCAGGTGCCCATGGCCTCCACCCGTTTATTGCACGCCCCAGTACTCGAGTCCCTCTTCTCCAGCACCCAGAGAAGGAGCAGGTAATAGCCCAGTGGATCCAAGCAGGAAGGACGCTGCCAGCTTCCAAGAGGGAGGCCGGGACTCGAGCCCCTCTCCACACTGAATTCAGCCGGGCTGGGCAGAGTTAAGTGTGGGAAAGTACCATCCGAGTCTCGTGTGGGAAAGTCCCCGTGCCTGGCGCCCCAGCCTCTGACTTTGTCACACTGGTCATGAATCCTCCTCCTCTCCTAATTTTGCTCTCCTGGTAGAGGAAGACTGGGTTCTGTCCACTCAACATTCTTCCAAGGAATTTCTTCTAAAGAGAAACTTTGGGTTGGTATTTGTGCCTAGGGAATCAAACCACTTGGTTGTG